TGTCCCTGAGCTCTTCAGCTCATGGCTAATGCTCTACCACTTGAGCCACAGCACCACTTCTGGTTTACTGGTGGTTTGGAGAAAAGAGTCTCAGGGATCTTCCAACTTGGGCTGGCTTTGAACCATGATCCTCAGATCTCAGCCTCCTGAGTAGCTAGGATTACAGGCATGAGCCACCAGCACCTGGTTTATTTTATTCTTTCTAATGGCTGTCCATTGTGTATAGGTACCACATTTTTTTGGATCCACTCATCTATGCAGGGGCATATGGGCTGATTCCATGTCTCACCTACTGTGAATAATGTGGCAGGGAAGATGGATATGCAGATGTCTTTATCATATCCCGACTCATGATGCTTAGGGTAGATGCCCAGGAGTGGTATGGCTGAATGATAGGGAAGGTAAGGTGGTTCTGTTCAGTTTTTCTTTATATATATAATTGTGAGTAAAATGAGAAAACTGTTACGCTTTGAAGACCAGCTATGTGCTCAGTACTCTTCAACCTCAGCAAAGAAGTTTAGTTTGTGCAGTGCAAATCACAAAGTTGAAACAAATGAGAGGAGATAGGCTGGGAGGGCTCTGGCAGTACGCCAGAGAGCTAGCATATTGTGTAAGGAAAGTGTGTCCTAAGTAAAGTTAACTTACCCAGAAAAACAAGCAAAGGACATCAAGTTAAGTCACATGGCTTCAAGTGGCCAGCAAACACATTGAAACAGATTTTTTTCCAGTTAACCTAGTGACAGATTTTTTTTTTTTAAACAAAATGCTTAATGTGTCTCTGGATATAGACAGAACTCTATCACATGCTGCTGTTTGCATGTAATCTGGTAGTCTTTCTGGAAAGCAGACTGGCAGAGCCTTTGAGAATTTTATGCCTAATAATTCCATTTAAGAATCTGCTTAAACCCCTCTGTACATCACCATGACAATAAAATTTAAAAAAAAAAAAAGAATCTGCTTATCCTTACTGTATAACAGATCTCACAGAATGATCATTGTACATATATGACAGAGGAAATGAGAAATATGAAATGAGTCTGGGGGTAGGGGGGGTAAGCAAGATGAGGGAGAATGATAGAGGGGTGACCTTGATCGAGAAGTACTGGACGGGCTGGGAAAGTAGCTCAGTGGTAGAGCGCTTGCCTTGCATGCATGAGACCCTGGGTTCGATTCCTCAGCACCACATAAGCAGAAAAGAAAAAAGCCGGAAGTGGCACTGTGGCTCAAGTGGTAGAGCGCTAGCCTTGAGCTGAAGAGCTGAGGGACAGTGCCCAGGCCCAGAGTACAGGCCCCATGACCAGACCCAAAAAAAAAAAAAAGAAAAAAAGAAGAAGTAGTACTGGACACATAAACGACCATGTTAAATTATAACCTCGGGGGGGGGGTTTGGGGAAAATGGGAAGGGGAAACAAAGGAGGAGGCTACAATGCTTGATAAGAAATGTACTCATTATCTTGCCCATGTAATTGTAACCCCTCTGTACAGTATTTTCACAATAAAAAAATTATAATTCCCTTATATAACCATTTGAAGTTTAGAAAATGAAGTAAAAATTAAAAATAAAAGATGGACATCACAGCGTTGATGAAACTGGAAAACTACATAACTGACCAAACTGATTTTGTTTTATTATACTGATATGATGAAGAGTTGTCATGAAAGTGTGTGTGTGCTACTACTGGGGCTTAAACGCTAGGCTGGAGCTCTTGCTCACTTCTGCTTTTTTTTTTTTTTCCGGTTGTGGGGCCTGAACTCTGGGCCTGGGCGCTGTCCCTCAGCTCTTCAGCTCAAGGCTAGCGCTCTACCACTTGAGCCACAGCGCCACTTCTGGCTTTTTTCTTTTTGCTTATGTGGTGCTGAGGAATCGAACCCAGGGCCTTGAGCATGCAAGGCAAGCGCTCTACCACTGAGCCACCTTCCCAGCCCCCCTCACTTCTGCTTATACCCGGTGCTCTACAACTTGAGCCACTCCTCCACCTGTGGCATTTTGCTTGTTAATTGGAGATAACAGTTTGTCTAACTGGCTTGAAACTGCCATCCTTAAATCTCAGCCTCTTTTTTTTTTGTGGGGGGGGGGTGAGGGCATTGGTCCTGGAGCCTTAGCAGTTTTGCCCAAGGCTAATGCTCTACCACTTGAGCCACAGCTCCACTTCTAGTTATTTTGGTGGTTACTTGGAGATAACAGTCTCACAGACTTGCTTACTTAGAGTGGCTTTGAACCACAATCCTCACATCTCAGCTTCCTGAGTAGCTAGGATTATAGTTAGTGTGAGCCACCAGCACCCAGTGAAGTGGGATTGTGCAACTTAGAATGACATGACAAAAATGCTCAGATGGTAGAGGGGACATAGAATTAAAAATATATCTTAAGCCGGGTGCTGGTGGCTCACGCCTGTAATCCTAGCTGCCCAGGACGCTGAGATCTGAGGATCGTGGTTCGAAGCCAGCCCAGGCAAGAAAGTCCGTGAGACTCTTATCTCCAATAAAGGACCAGAAAACTGGAAGTGGTGCTGTGTCTCAAGTGGTAGAGCACTAGCCTTGAGCCGAAAAGCTGAGGGACAGCACCCAGGCTCAGAGTTCAAGCCCTATGACTGACCAAAAAAAAAAAAAGAGCTGCCAAAGAGGACTAGGGTAATTAGTATGATAAACAACATGTCTTTAGTTGTCTTAGGTCTCAGCCTTGGGCCATTTTTGAGATGGGCTCCCTGAGGACAGCAGAGAACACTTTTCTGTTCTCCTAGGGAGTTGTTGCCTAGCTTATTAGGGAGCACAAATAGTTGTTTCAATCACAATTCCAGTCAAACTGTCCTGGGCTTGAAGAGGATTGGCCAGAAGAAGAGAAACAAGTGGTAGGCCGCCTAGTTGTGTCTACCATATCCTGTTCATCTGTGGCTGTCATTTGATTAGAAGAAAGACAGATTGCAATTCTAATGCTGCCTCATATAATATTCTTCATCATGAACCTTCTAAGATTATATGTGAGATCAGAAATGGAAAACTGGCTTTATTCATCTGTATATCACAAGAATAGATTCCTCTAGGCATTTTAAAAAATGATGAAATCCAACCTGTACCTTTCCTGTTGTTCCTTTCCTGTTGTTGACTCTCCCCTGTGAACTACTGATAAATGATATTTGTCTACATGTATCTTTAATGCATCTCCTGGTTCTACCCTCCAGAAATGACTAGAATCAGTGGTAAATGAATGAAAAAAAAAATCAAATGATAGCTGGAAGTGGATTTGTGGCTTAGGTGGTAGAACACTGGCCTTGAGCAGAAAAGCTCAGGATCAGCACTCAGGCCCTGAGTTCAAGCCTCAGGACCAGCACAAGAAGAATAAATTTAAAAAAAGGGGAGGGGGGATCAGATGGTGGGAAGTGCCAGTGGTCCCAGCTATTCAGGAGGGCATAAGTAAGGAGGATCACTCTATAGGAATAAAAACAAAAACAAACATGGAAGAACCTATGTAAAAAAAATATAAAAAGGCTGGCAGTATACAAGTAGCTGAGTGCCTAGAGTTCAAATCTCATATTGCTGAGAAATCAGGTGGCTTCTTTTGAGATTACACTGAGCTAGAATGCAGGAAGGAAGTAGTTGACAAGCACAGTATGATGGGCAGTGTGTGTGGAAGACAAGGGGAAGTGCTGGTTTTGTTTGTGTCCTGTTTCTGTCTGCTCTGCACTAATTTTGTTCTTTAAGATTGTGGAAGCTGTTGAGGACAGGACCACTATGTCTAGCAGAATTGCTATAACATTCAAGCATGTGGAAACAAAGTGCATTATTAACACAGAAAAATTAAAACATTATTTGCTAATATAGTCAAATATAGGTAACAGCATTTTTCTTGGAAAGGCAGGCCCAGCATAGAAATGAAGCCATTTGCATGAAAAATTTCAGAGAACCCAACCAGATCTGTCATTTCACTTTGTTCTGTCGGGTCAGGAAAGCTCTGTCTCTGGGGAAACAGCTTCCTCAGATTTGTTAAGGAAATGTTTCATAGCGATCCTTCAAGTCAGGACTTTTTAACTGATTTGGCCTTAGGGTCTGACTTCAAAACCCTGCAATATCACACACTGGCTTTTGAAGCCAGTTTCCCAGCTTTCCTTTTGTGCACTGCACAATATGGCTTTGTTCACTCTGGTACAGATCTGGGGATCCACCCTGCCCTTGTTTGTGGCTGATCATTGAGCTTTTCATAAAGGCCGTCATGGACTGGGTATATTTTCAGTATGTGCCTATGAGGTGGAGCATGATTGGTTTTTATCTCCATCCAGCCCAACAGAATGTCATGGAAATGTTTGTCCATATGAATTAAGGATGAAAAAAAAATAAGGTATATTTACAAACAGCATTTGATGAAAAGTGTTCCATCTTCCTTTGCCCATCAAGTGGGTTTCAAGGAACAAGTTTAGCCAAAAGAAACTAGGCCTGAGAGCTTAATTATGAACCAGGTACTGGCTCATACCAGTCCTAGCTACTCAAGAGACAGATCTGACGATACCGTGGTTCAAAGCTAGCCTAGGCAGGAAAGCCCCTGAGACTCTTATCTCCAATACATTACCAAAAAAAAGCCAGAAGTAGACATACGGTGCAAAGTGGTAGAGCACTAGCCTTGAGCAAAAGAAACCCAGGGACGGCGCCCATTCCCTGTGTTCAAGCCCCAGGACACAAAAAACAAAAACAAAAAAAGTTAAATTATGAACTCTAGTGTGGAGTCCTGGTCACTACAATTGCTCTATCAGCATTGAGAAGTATAAAGGTCATCTATGGATTGAGAGAAAACATTTGGACAGATTCTTTTGACAACTTACCTGTGTATACTTATCCCCATGTTGGTGTCATGTGCTTTGAGGTACGGCATTTCAGCTATGGCATGACTATAAAAAATTAACTTATGGAATTACTTTAGCTCTGTGATCACTAGAGCAGCAGCATTTACTTTTTTTTAATGATTTGCTACTTACTGAACTTGTTAAAGATCCTGTCTTCCCTTGAACACCTGTGGGAGCAGCAGAAGGATGTGTCAGAGGTCACTTTCTAGACAGGCTAGGTTTGTTTCAAATGGTACTGTTTTATTCAGAGTATCTCTTTGTCATCAGAGTAAGCCCCAGTCTCCAAAGAGCGTTTCATCTCTTTTTCCCATCAACAATGGCTCCAAAGAAAATGGGTTTCATGAGGAACAAGACCAAGAACCACAGGATCTCTTTGCAGGCAAGTACAAACTCCAAACTTAGTAGCTATCTGAATAGCTTTGTTAAATTGCTGTATTAAAAACGTGTACATACTTGTGCGCGTGTGTGTGCACGTGTGTGTGCGTGTGTAAGTGATATAGAATATAACTACATAAGATACTATTGTAGATGAGCACAAATGGCTTATGCCTATAATCCTAACAATTTCAGAAGGCTGAGATCTGAGGATTGAGGTTTGAAGCTAGCCCAGGCAGAGAAATCCATAAGACTCTTAACTAATTAAAGCAAAGAGCCAAAAGTAGAGTCTGGTTCCCGTGGTAGCATGCTGGCCTTGAGTGGAAAAAGCCAAGCAAAAGTTCAAGGCCCTGAGTTTAAGATCCAAAACAAGACAGCAAAATAATGTTGTCTTCAAGTGTAGCAAGCTGCCCTTTCCCAGGTGTTCCTGAGTTTTGGTCCTTATTCCTTCTCCCCCCACCTTCCCATCCTGTAGCTTGAACTCAGGGCCTGGGTGCTGAACCAAAGTTTTTTTGCTCAAGGCTAGCACTCTACTGCTTGAGCCACAGCTCCACTTTGGGCTTTTCTGGTGGTTAATTGGAAATAAGTGTCTCATGGACTTTCCTGCCTAGGCTGACTTTGAACTGCAGTTCTCAGATCTCAGCCTCTTGAGTAGCTACAGGTGTGAGACACTGGTGCTGAGATACTGGTCCATATTTTTCTAGCTTACATTTCCCTGACTTTCTTTCTTTCTTTCTTTCTTTTTTTCTTCAAGGCTAGCACTCTACCACTTGAGCCACAGCGCCACTTCTGGCTTTTTCTGTTTATGTGGTGCTGAGGAATCGAACCCAGGGCCTCATGCATGTGAGGCAAGCACTCTACCACTGAGCCACCTTCCCAGCCCTCCCTGACTCTTTCTTCAATAGTGTTTACTGGTAGCATATTTTCCTTTTCTATCATATTGGTTTGTAAGGCTGATAACCAAACATTGTTATTTTATAAATGATTTAAGATCAAAGATGGGCACCGGTGGCTCATACCCATAATCCTAGCTACTCTGTAGGCTGAGATCTGAGGATCATGGTTCAAAGCCAGCCCGGGCAGAAAAGTCTGGGAGACTTTTATTGTCAATAAACCACCAGAAAACCAGAAGCAGTACTGTAGCTCCAGTAGTAGAGCGCTAGCCTTGAGCTGAAGAGCTCAGGGACAGCGCCCAGGCTCAGAGTTCAAGTCCCATGACAAACAAAAACAAACCAAAACAAAAAAACAGATTGATTACTCTTAGGAGGGAAATACAAAGGCAAAATGCCTATATGCAACCGATCATGTAAAATTTATTGAAATGAACTCCATGAATGGAAACAAGTTTTTTCTTTGTTGTTGTTTTCTTTTTGTTTTGTTTGTCTATTTATTGGTCTTTGGGAGGGTGTAGGTGGGACACAGAATTGACAGGATAAGAGTGAACAAATGCAGCAGTGGTACTCATTAGAAACTATATTGGGGGCTGGGAAGGTGGCTCAGTGGTAGAGCGCTTGCCTTGCATGCATGAGGCCCTGGGTTCGATTCCTCAGCACCACATAAGCAAAAAGAAAAAAAGCCGGAAGTGGCGCTGTGGCTCAAGTGGTAGAGTGCTAGCCTTGAGCTGAAGAGCTGAGGGACAGCGCCCAGGCCCAGAGTTCAGGCCCCACAACCGAACCCCCCCAAAAAAAAATTATGGGTGGAGATAGAAAGGAAAAACTGGGAGAAAGCAAAGGAAGGGGTGATGTCCAAAAAGAAATGTACTTATTGCCTGATTTATGTGACTATAATCCCTCTGATATCATCTTTATTAAAACAATTTAAAAAATTTTAAGAATAAATATGCTTTACAAAAGATTTTATAAAATATGCTTTACAAAAAAGGGATACTCTGTTGTGGGTTTGTTGGCACATATCTGTAATGCAGCCACTTGGGGACAGAAGGATCTTGAGTTTGAGACCAGCCCAGACATTATTGAGACCCTGTCTCAAAAATTATAAAATAAAAGGATTGGGGATATGGCGTAAGTGGTAGAATGCTTGCCTAGCACGCCTGAGGCCCTCATTACTTCCCAATATTGTATGTATATGTGTAATATATGTATGTGTGTGTGTGAAAGAGAGACAGACAGACATTGAGACTCCCAAATGTGAAATTAATTGCATTAATCTTAACTAAATCTAGGTAGGTGAGGGTGGCCAAGTAATTGTGTTTGGAAAGGAAAGGAAGAGGGTGTTCTGTTATGCCCAGGCTAAAAGGACATGTTCCTCTTCACCATCCTCCACTTTGATCCATGTAAAACTTTTATGACTTACTTTTTTTCGGACTCTGAGAACATCTTTGGTATTTAGAGCACTTGCGACTGTTCTTGGACATCTCGGCTATAGAACTGATGTTTAGCCTTTGAAGACCCATTATTGACCTTCATTTTAAAATATCAACTTTTTTAGATGCCACAGTGGAACTGTCCCTGGATTCTACACAAAATAATCAGAAGAAAGGGCCAGCCAAAATGCTCATTTCTCCTCCTCCACAGGAAGCCGCAAATTCTGCCAAGCCCCAGCCAAGCTATGAGGAGGTGAGAATCTGTGCTGTTGCTCTTTCTTGCTTTGGGGATCTTAGGATCTGTTTGCTGCTCATCTGAGGTTCAATTGAGTGTGACCTTGAGAAAATATTTATGCCTCCTGAAGGAGACCTTTATGGTTAATGGACAACTAGAATCTAATAAAGGACTCTTTCTTAGACAGTGTATCTATTGCCTAGAGGATAGTACAAAGGCTTTTACTGGCCACTAATGGTTGCTCGTGTCTGAGGCCCCCATCTATAGAGATACAGTGAATTCTTACTCCCTTCTTAACTTGAGAGAGAGCAGGTCTTCCCAAACCTGGTTCATTATTCATTGTCATCAAAATAAGGTTTTAAGGGAACAGATATAACAGAGATCTTTGTACTGGCTCCCAATTTAAAATTGTGGGCTTTAAGTCACTAGATCATTGGGAATCGACAAAGGTGGACACTTGATTTGCAGTAGGGTACATCAGGAATTTAATAGCTCTCATGATTTGTCTTTTCTTTACAAAGCTAGAGGAAGAAGAGCAAGAAGACCAGTTTGACTTGACAGTAGGTATTACTGACCCTGAGAAGATAGGTAAGTGATCACATGGGGCTGTGGGAATCAAAGCTAGCTTTTTTGAGGTTGGCTACCTCCAGAGCAGAATCAGCCAATGAGACCTTCCTCAGATATCTCTACTGGAAGTATTTCCCTACCTATGATTCCAAAGCGAGAGACAGCACTTACCTAGGACTTTCAGGGCCTGGGCACTGTCCTTGAGTGTTTTTTGTTCAAGGCTGATGTTCTACCACTTGATCCATACCTCCACTTCAAGCTCTAAGGTGATTAATTGCAGATAATCATCTCAGAGACTTTCCTGCCCAAGTTGGCTTCAAAACTCAGTCTTCTGAGTAGCTGGATTACAAGCATGAGCCCCTGGCACCCAGCTACTAGTATGTTTTATATACACTTGCCCTTATACCTCCTTAGTTGCAGGCACTAAATTATAGGATTGAACATGGCTGTTCTCCAGTGGCTGGAGTAGTGCCCAGTGGCAAAGTGCTTACCTTGTATGGACACAGCTCTGGCTTCCATCCCTAGTACTAAAAAACAAAACAAAAAAGCATTCACATCACATTACAGTGAGTGAAATTTGAATACTTCTTCTATTTTTTTCCCTCCCCACCCTACCCTGTTACTCCCCTCCCCTCCCCCCACTTCCCAGTTGTGGGGCTTTAACTCTGGGCTTTTGGGTGCTGTTCCTGCCCACTTCAGCTCAAGGCAAGCCCTCTACTGCTTGAGCCACAGCGCCACTTCCAGTTTTCTAATGGTTTATTGGAGATAAGAGTCTCAGGGACTTTCCTGCCCTGGCTGGCTTTGAACCATGATCGTCAGATCTCAGCCTCCTGAATAACTATGATTACAGGCATGAATCACTGGCCCCCGGCTAAATTTATATATTTTTTAAAGGCTGTAGTAAACATCTTTTGTATTAAGCAGTGTAATATTAGTGGTTTAGAAGAGAACTAAAGATGATAATACAAAGTAATTTCTAAAGTTATATTTTAATTTGTTTTATTATTTTAGTCGGTTGTGGTGCTTGAACTCTGGGCCTAGGTGCTGTCCCTCAGCTCTTCAGCTCAAGGCCAGCGCTCTACCACTTGAGCCACAGTGCCACTTCCAGTTTTCTGAGTGATTTATTGGAGATAAGAGTCTCACAGGCTTTCCTGCCCAGGCTGGCTTTGAACTATTATCCTCAGATCCCAGCCTCCTGAGTAGCTAGGATTATAGGCTTGAGCCACCAGCACCTGGCTATAATTTGTTTTATTTATTTATTTATTTATTTATTTATTTATTTATTTTTTGTCGGTGGTGGGGCTTGAACTCTGGGCCTGGGCGCTGTCCCTCAGCTCTTCAACCCAAGGCGAGCTCTCTACCACTTGAGCTACAGCGCCACTTCCTATAATTTGTTTTATACACACACTTTTGGTAGAGGTTGGGGAGGTAAAGCAGGTACGTATTATATTTCTGTATGACTTCCACCTTCTCTATATAGAAAGGCAAGCATTTTCAGCCACCTCACTGAAACCCAATTGTAAAATATCACCCAGCTGACCCATTAGTGCTGCTGCCTCTCCTGGCCTCCCACCCCTACCCCAGAACCAGTTCAGGAGCTTAAGCAACTGGTCATCGTTGACCTAGGCTTTTGTGTTTGATGTGGGACAGGAATCCAGGGCAAAGGAGGAAGGAAACAAAACCAACTCCACACTCCATGGTCCATCACTGGAGTTGTCTGTCTGGATTCTAATGTATGTCCTCCCAGTGTTCAGAAAGTCAATGGTGCCTTTATCTCCCTAAGTGGTCTAGGTCAGGATTGTACCCCAGAGAAAAAAACAGTTGCTTGAATCTCAGATTATTTAACAGTCAAAGGCTTCTTCATCAAAATAATTCCTCCAGAAAAAGGAGATTTGTACGACATAGGGCAGTCCTCGTGTCTTCCTGCCAGGCCCTTTGCTCTAAGTGAGTGTGCTAGATCAGAGAGGTCAGTGTCCCCAGCCCTAGAGAAGGGGCTGAGATGGTCTTTCTGAAAGAGCAAAGTGAGCCTAGAGCTAGCCTGGGGTAGGACGACTTGTTTCCTTTTACATCAGTTACTTCCTTCTCCTCCTGCTTTATACAGCAAGAGAATTGTTTGGTTTCGGCAGATGTGTGTAACCAGCCCAAATATTGGCATGGTAACAAGCAGTGGATTGTCAGTCTCCTGGGCTTCTTTGTGGAGGGTATAAATGGAGCCTGGCTTTGGAACAGGAGGCTGACTCTCTTGTCTAACTTGAACTGATGCCTAGCCAGCATCCGTGGGGCATGTATCCTGAGCAGCCCCGAGGCAAAGTAGGAATTGGACTTCAGGATTGCAGATAAGGCTTAGAGATGAAACAAGTCCTTCTTCTGTGGGGCTCCTGGTCAGATGTTACCAGATAGCACTGCTTTGGTTTAGAAGCTAATCCTTTCGTCCTTTCTTGTTCCTCCCCAGGGGATGGTATGAATGCCTATGTAGCCTACAAAGTTACCACACAGGTGAGTGCCAGAGACCCTGCTTGATGATCACCACCCACCAAGAAAGCCATCATTCAGATTATGTATGGGTGTCTTTTGTTCTCTTTACCAACATCTTCTTGCACATTTAGTCAAAATGGAGCAGGCGTACCCCTTCAGTGATCTGTGGGTGTCCAGATGGGACCTTTTCAATAGACTGCCAAAAAGCTAATATCCCGGTGTGGAACTTTTGTGAATTTTGTATTAAGACCTACAACATATCTGATTTGGCCCACCTTTCTTAGGAACTATGTGGTAGATTACTTTTGAAGGTCAGTGTCTTAACAGCTTAGACATCTCTTTCGTCTGATCCTTCACTTCTCTTGAGTTTGCTTTTATTCCATTAGCTAAGTTGATAATTAGTTATAAATGACCTTTAAAATCTATTGTAAAGTTTATTTATTTAGAGGAAGTATTCTAAGAATAAAACTATATATGTAATCCTATAAATTTTATTTTTGGTGCCACTCCTGGGACTTGAACTCAGGGCCTGGGTACTCCTTGAGCTTTTGTATTCAAGATTAGCACTCTACCACTTGAGCCACAGCTCCACTTCTGGCTTTTTTTGTAGTTCGTTGGAGATAAGAATCGCATGGGCTTTTCTATGTAGGCTGACTTTGAACCTTGATCTTCAGATCCCAGCCTCCTGAGTAAAAGTGAGCCTAGTGCTAGCCTGGGGTAGGACTACTTGTTTCCTTTCACATCAGTTACTTCCTTCTCCTTCTGCTTTATATACAGCAAGAGTAACCTTACAGGAATGAGCCACCAGTGCCTGACCTGTTTTTAGTTATTTATTTTTTGTAATAAGGTGCCTTTTGCGTGCTAGGCATGCATGTACTCTTACCACTTGAGCCATAAACCCTAACCCTTTATGTAGTTACTTTCAGGTAAGGTTTTGCTTTTACCTGATGTTGGCCTCAGACCACAATCCTTCTGTCTTTGCCACCCACATAACTGAGGTACTACTAGGTAGTATCACTATGTTTGGCTTGTTTGTTGTAATGAGAGTCTCACTACCATTTTTGCCTTGGTTGGCCTTGATCCACGATCCTCCCAATCTCTCTTCCCTAGTAGATGGAATTACATGTGTGTGTCATGTGCATAGCTATATGTTTTTGTATGCATTTAAAATCTCTTTTGTTTGCCGGTCCTGGAGCTTGAACTCTGCCTGGGCACTGTCCCTGAGCTTCTTTTACTCAAAGCTAGTGCTCTACTACATAAGCCACAGTGCCACTTCTGGCTTTTTCTGAAGTTTAAGAGTCACTTTTCTGCTCGAAATGGCTTTGAACCGTGATCCTCAGCCTCCTGAGTAACTAGGATTATAGGTGTGAGCCACTGAGCCACCGGTGCCTGGCTAAAATCATTCTTTATTTTCTTTTTGTCCATCATGAGGCCTGTACTCGGCCTGGGCGCTGTCCCTTAGCTTTTCAGCTCAAGGCTAGCACTGCAGCGCCACTTCCGGTTTTCTAGTGGTTTATTGGAGATAAGAGTCTCATGGACTTTCCTGCCCGGGCTGGCTTTGAACTGCAAACCTTAGATCTCAGCCTCCTGAGTAGCTAAGATTACAGGAGTGAGCCACCAGTGCCCAGCTAAAGTCATTCTTTTTTTTTTTTTGGTCATGGGGCTTGAACTCTGGGCCTGAATGCAGTCTCTCAGTTCTTCAGCTCAAGGCTAGCACTCTACCACTTGAACTACAGTGCCACTTCCTAAAGTCATTCTTAATAAGGCTTCTTAGGGGTCCCAGACTGCCAAAGAAGACTATAATTCAAAAAGTTTAAAAAGCCAGGTGTCAGTGGCTCATGCCTATAGCTATTTAAGGATGAGATCTGAAAATCATGATTCAAAGCCAGCCAGGCAGGAAAGTCCATGATACTTTATCTCCAGTGAACCACCAAAAGAGCCAAAAGTGGATCTGTGGCTCAAGAGGTAGAATGCTAGCCTTGAGCTGAAAAAGCTAAGGGACAGTGCCTAGGCCCTGAGTTCAAGCCCCAGTATTGACTCATTAAAAAAAAAAAGTTAGAGAAAGTTACTTTTGTCTTAGAGAAAGTTACTGGCTAGGTGGCTCAGGGTAGGAATCTAGAAAAATAGAGTCCTTTGGTGTTAGCCGGGTACTTTCAAGATAGTCAACCTGAGTTTGAAATGAAATTACATTTTGGATTTGTGTGTTGTTTTTTTTCTATCCCAAAGACAAGCTTACCAATGTTCAGAAGTAAACAGTTTGCAGTGAAAAGAAGATTTAGTGACTTTCTGGGTCTTTATGAGAAGCTTTCAGAGAAGCACTCTCAGAATGGCTTTATTGTCCCTCCTCCACCTGAAAAGAGCCTAATAGGTAAGCCTGTGGCCTTCAGCTCCATTTGGGTCTTTTCCTTTGTGCTCCTTCTGTGTAACACTCTTACTGCTCAGTGTATGACACAGACTACTTCAATTAGCAGCATGGAGTCTTGTGATTAGAACAGAGACGTTTCAGAACTTCATAATGTAAGAGAGGGTCAGCATGTTTTGACATGTTCTCTTTTTTTGAGTATGGTAGGGGACTCTGATTTTAGCTCCTGGTTTTATATTATTATCCAGAGTCTTTTTCTTTTTTTCTTTTTTTTTTTTTTAATCAGTCATGTGGCTTGACCTCATGGCCTAGGCACTGTCTATGAGCTCTTTTGCTCAAGGCTAGAATTCTGCTAATTGGAGCCATAGCACTACTTCTGGTTTTGTGATAGTTAATTGGAGATAAGCGTCTCATGGATTTTCCTGCCCTGGCTAGCTTTGAACCTTGATCCTCAGGTCTCAGCTTCCTGAATAGCTACAATTATAGACATGGGCCACTGGTGCCCTGCTTCAGTCTTTTCCTTCTTCTTCTTCTTTTTTTTTTTTTTTCCCCAAGACTGAGACTCAGATATCTGATACTTTCTCTCATTGGCTGACACTCTGCTACCTGAACCACACCTCCAACCTCCATTATCTTTTTCTTATTTTCTACAGTTTTCTTATTTTCTAATGTTTACTAGGCACATACTCTCCCACTTGAGACGTATCTTAATCCTTTCTGCTGTTTTCGAATGGACTTTTACATTTTTCCTGGTGTTGACCTTAGATCTCAGTCCTCTTTATGTAGAGCCCCCCCCCCCATGTAGCTGGGACTACACATGCATGCTACTACATCCAGCTTGGTTGTAATGGGGTCACATGAATGTTTGCTTGGGCTTACCTCCCAAATTCTCTCTCCTTAGTAGCTTGGATTATACACGTGAGACATGTCTGGCTCTAATTTTGTCATTCAGACAAGTTCTTATTATGTATTATGTATTATAGACTGACCTGTAGCCTAGTCTGGCCTTGAACTTGAGTTTTTCCATCTCTGCCTCCTGAGTGCTGGGATTACAGGCAGGTTGCGCCAGTCACTGCAAAGAGAACTTCTCTCTCCTCTCTCTGCTTGCTGTCTGTTCTGTCTGTCCTCTCCTCTATTCTCACTCTCCTTTCTTCTTTCTCCTCTCCTCCCTCCCACCCTCCTGCTAAGGATCAGGTCTTTCATACATTAGGCACGTACTCTACCACTGAGCTATATATTAAGCATCAGGAATCTTTTTTTGTTGTTGTTGTTCCGGCCGTGGGGCCTGAACTCTGGGCCTGGGCACTGTCCCTCAGCTCTTCAGCTCAAGGCTAGCGCTCTACCACTTGAGCTACAGCGCCACCTCCGGCTTTTTTTTTTCTGCTTATGTGATGCTGAGGAATTGAACCTAGGGCCTCATGCATAAGGCAAGCACTCTACCACTGAGCCACCTTCCCAGCCCCAAGCACCAGGAATCTTTTATGATTGCTAGTCCCTCCAAATTAAAATGTTCTAACTTGGTTTAAGGAACCAGACAAACTCCCTATTCCCGTGGAGTTATTAATTGTTCTCAGAATTTCATGGCCTGTTGTTGTTCTTGTTTTATTTTTAAAGAAATGTATAAAAAATGTAAATCCCAGAGTTTAGAACCTTCAATACTTGGAGACCAGTTTAAAAAATGACTCTCACCAGGTGCCAGTGGCTCACACCTATAATCCTAGCTGCTCAGGAGGCTGAGATCTGAAGATCACCTTTAAAGCCAGCCTGGGAAAGAAAGTCTGTGAGACTAATCACCAGAAAAATTGGAAGTGACACTGTGGCTCAAGTGGTAGAGCACTAGCCTTAAGCTAAAAGGAGCTGAGGGACAGTGCGCAGGCCCTGAGTTCAAGCCCATTACCACCCACACCAACAAAAAGGCCCTCATGTAAATAGACCTATGTCATGCCTTTTCATGACACTGAATGGTCCCAGGTTTTATCTCGTAAGGCCACTCTTGCTGCCTTTCTTCCTGATGGTTTTTCTTCGTTTTATTGTTGTCATGATTTCTAGTAATTTTGCTTCTTAAATCCTATCCAAGGCATGACAAAAGTAAAAGTTGGAAAGGAAGATTCTTCTTCTGCAGAATTTCTCGAAAAACGAAGGGCTGCTCTGGAAAGGTAGGTGCCTTCCAGCCGTGTTCCTGAGTTGCCTTGAGAATGAGGAAGAAGTCGGAATTGAAGTTGGAATCTTCCTGGTTTCTCTCAGTGTTACCTTGTCATGTACTGTATTCTCTTCATTCTCCGTCCTGAGGAAATAGTCATATTTTCCTTCTTGGGAGATCTAATATGAATGGTCTTGAGTTCTCTTTTGACCAGATACTTTGGTGGCTTTTAGAAATGTGAAGAACAGCTTTTTTTTGGGGTCGGTCGTGGGTCTGAACTCTGGGCCTGGACGCTGTCCCTCAGCTATTTTTAGCTCAAGGCTTGCATTCTACCACTTGAGCCACTGCACCACTTCCGGCTCTTCTCTGCTTATGTGGTGCTGAGGAATTGAACTCAGGGCCTCATGCATGCAAGGCAAGCACTCTACCCCTGAGCCACCTTCACAGCCCCACAAACTTGAATATACTTACAAGTAGAGTCCTACTTGTGTACCTTATCTAAGGATATTTTAAAGTTGTGAAAGTACAGTACCCCTGCCAGTACTTTCTGAGGCCAATATCAGCTAATCAGGTGATAACTCTTTACCTTCTAGGTACCTTCAGAGAGTTGTGAACCACCCCACCATGTTACAGGACCCTGATGTCCGAGAGTTTTTAGAAAAAGAAGAGGTTAGTATTGTACAAAACGTAATATCATTATTTATATTGACTCCTAGTGAATAAAAACTAGGTCAACCAATATCTGAGCACTTAATATATCTAGCTCTAGCCTCTATCCTAGTTTAATGTGAGCAAGAGCAAGTACTTTTCACCCTTCAGAATAAAAGCAGCTCTGCCTATAAGCAAAAGAAGTCATTGTGGAGATCAGTGGCAACCTAGGTCAAACTGGTAGTTCCTTGACATGACTTTTATAAGCTACCAGTTGGTTCAGATTGAACGCATGTTTTGTGCGAGGAACTGAGGGCCATTGGGTAAGAAGCAGTTACCAAGAACCATAGAGCTGTGCTAGGTGCTGGTGGCTCACACCTATAATCCTAGCTACTCAGGAGGCTGAGGTCTGAGGATCATGGTTCAAAACCAGCCCAGGCAGGAAAGTCCGTGAGACTCTTATCTCCAATTAACCACTGAAAAACCAGAAGTGGTGCTGTGGCTCAAGTGGTAGAGCATTAGCCTTGAGCTGACGAGCTCAGGGACAGCACCCAGGCCCAGAATTCAAGCCCCACAACTGACACACACACGCACGCATGCACGCACGCACGCACAAAAGAATTGAATAGACTACATCTGTACAGTATGTTTTCTATTCTCATAAACAGAAAATACATAGGAATATTAGTGTATGGAAGCATATTGAGTTATAAAGAGTAAAATGTAGCTGGGTGCTGATGGCTTACACCTATAATCCTAGCTACTCAGGAGGCTGAGATCTGAGGATTGTGGTTCAAAGCCAGCTTAGGTAGGAAAGTCCATGAGACCTCTATCTCCAGTTAGCCACTAGAAAACCAGAAGTGGTGCTGTGGCTCAAAGTGGTAGACCACCAGTCTTGAGCAAAAGAGCTCAGGGACAGCTCCCTGAGTTCAAGCCCCATGACTGACCAAAAAAAAAGTGAACTATGAAATAGCATATAAATATGTAGAAATACAAATGTCATTGAGAATCAAAAGGAATTAGACTAAACTATGTCTTAAAACCAACAAGGAAGGTAAGTCAGGATAAAACTATTACTTATTTTCATATTCTTCTTTAATTTGCACATTATTTTACTAGTACTAAATATATGGGAATTATTTTCCTCCAAATAAATATTTTAACCCGGTACTGGTAGTTCACATTTGTAATCCTTACTACTTAGGAGGCTCAGATTTGAAGGTCACGGCTCAAAGCCTGTCAGGGCAGAAAAACCTGAGAGACTCCATCGCCAATTAACCACCAAAATGCTGAGTTGAAGGCATGGTAGGGTGCTGTAACCACAAAATCCAAGCAAGAGCACAAAGCCTCAGTTCAAGCCTTAGTACCAGCACAAAAAAAGTTAAGATAATAAATAAAATGTTTTCTCTTTTTCTTTTTTTGGTCATGGGGCTTCAACTCTGGGCCTGGGTTCTGTTCCTCTTCAGCTCAAGGTGGATGTTCTACCACTTGAGCCACAGCGCCACTTCTGGTTTTCTGGTATTTTAATGGATATAAGAGTCTCATGGACTTTCCTGCCCAAGCTGGCTTTGAACTGTGAGCCTCCGATCTCAGCCTCATGAGTAGCTAGGATTGCAGGCATGAGCCACCAGCACCTGGCTAATTAATTTTTTGGGGGGTGGGGGTGGGGGTCTGGTCGTGGGGCCTGAACTCTGGGCCTGGGCACTGTCCCTCAGCTCTTCAGCTCAAGGCTAGTGCTCCACCACCTGAGCCACAGTGCCACTTCCGGCTTTTTTCTTTTTGCTTATGTGGTGCTGAGGAATCGAACCCAGGGCCTCATGCATGCAAGGCAAGCACTCTACCACTGAGCCACTTTCCCAGCCCAATTAATTTTTTTTTAATGCTGTAAAACTTATAATTCTGCTTCTAAGTATTTCTAAACCTTCCTTATTTCATACCTCTAGAGCAGAGTTTGTCTTCATGGACACTGGACTGATAGTTCTTTATGACGGCACCTGTCTTGGTATTATAGGATGTTTGAGTTCCCACTAGATGCCAGTGCCTCTACCTCCCCAACTGTAACAACCAAAGTCATCTCCAGATATTGCCAAATGTCCCCTATTGTAGAAAATTTGTGAAATCTTGCATGCTAAAATCTAACACTTTAGCATAGTTTGCTGTCTAAAAATAGCTTCATACTGAGTAAATTATGCTCTTGGTCTTACACATTGGTTTGATGAAGAATAACATTGGAATTGAGTCATATTGTAACTTCAAACTGTCTTAAGACTTTGGACAAGACAAGTCCACTTGTTTGCAGAATTTGTTGATCCAAAGGGGGGAGAGAGAGAAAGAGAGAGAGAGAGAGAGTGTGTGTGTGTGTGTGTGTGTGTGTGCGTGCGTGCGCGCGCACACACATGCATGTGTACAGGCACCTTTCACTGTTGCTTGGCTTTTTCACTCAAGATTGAAGCTCTACCACTTAAGCCCTACCTCTATTTCTGGCTTTCTGTTATTTGGAGATTAGGAGTCTTACAGATTTGTCTGCCCAATCTGGCTTCAAACTTTGATCTTCAGATCTCAGCCTCCTGCGTATGTAGGATTTGTAGGCGTGAGCCACGGGTGCCCGGCTCCAAAGGAACTTTGACTTTTAACCAAAGTGTACTTGCTGTTTAAGCAACTCATGCTTAAGTAACACAGTGTCCATATGTAGTCCCCTAATCCTCATTCTATTTTCTTTCTGCAAATGACATCGAAAGCTGCCATTTTTATTGCTTCTTTTAACATAGTTCTTTGACTTTTCTTTCTGCACATAGAAAAGCTTTAAAGTAGCTGCTTTAAAATACAACAATCTGTAGTTCAAATAATTTGCTCAGCAAGTCTTGGGCATGCCATCTGATGGATACTAATTCTTCTGAACCTAAAATAGGGGCAGCAGATAACTTGCCATCCCCGCCTTCTTGGTCTTGTAGCTGCCACGTGCTGTGGGTACCCAGACATTGAGTGGCGCTGGTCTCCTTAAGATGTTCAACAAAGCTACAGATGCTGTAAGCAAAATGACCATCAAGATGAATGAATCAGACATTGTAAGTAGCCCTGGGCCTCTCTTTTCTCTCTACCCCTCGAACCCAGGGCCTCATGCATGCAAGGCAAGCACTCTACCACTAAGCCACCTTCCCAGACCAGAAATGGGGAAATTTCGGAGATCAGAAACTTTTTTTTTTTTACTCCAATTAATGAATAGACCCTTTGAAAACCCACTAAAAAGAGACTATGCCATGTAGCTATTGAAGAGCCCTTCATTAAAGCTGTGGGCTTGTGTTTCAGTGGTTTGAGGAGAAGCTCCAGGAGGTAGAATGTGAGGAGCAGCGCCTGCGGAAACTGCACGCTGTGGTAGAAACTCTCGTCACCCACAGGAAAGGTAACTCCTCTGGAATGCACCTGGCCTGGGACAGAGGGTTCAGTGGGCTGGTAAGAGAAGGCCATGCTGTTCCCAGGCCTCGGCCAGCCAAGTAGAAATTCTCGGCCCACCTGGTCCTTGATGTTCTCATTACAAAGATGTCCTGATCTCTTGGCGTGAGCATAACCCAGCCTCTGTGGGTTTGGATGTGCCCCTCAGGACGGGTGTAAGCAGTCCGTCCTGGTACACAGTGACTAGGGAGGAGGGCTTCCATTGACCAAGTTGGTGGCTTACATCCAAAGCAGTGGCACACGCTCACATTGTGTACATGTGGGAAAACATTGTCTCCTAACCCTTCCTCTTTCTTTTTTAAAAATAGTTTTCATTGTTAGCTATACAGAAAGGTTACGGTTACATAAGTCAAGTAGTGAGTATCCTTCCCTCACTCCTAGATTGTCCCTTCTGTCCCTGTCCATATGTTGTATGGTTCATTTTCAACACAGTGTCTAGCAAGTACCACCACTTCATGTGCCATACGTTCACTTCTCTTTTTTTTTGGGGGGGGGCGGCAGTCGTGTGGCTTGAACTCTGGGCTGGGCACTGTCCCTGTGCTTTTCAGCTCAAGGCAAGCGCTGAGATTTGCTTAAGAGCTAGTGTTATTTTCCAAATCGGAAAGCTTTTTCTTCTCTGACTTACACATACTGATATAGAAATCTAGAACACACTCCACTAGCGTAAGTAAGCCCTGTGTATGAGTTGGCAAAATGGCCCTGGGGCTTCTTGCCTTGATCTAAGAGTGGTTTTTAGTTGCTTATAATTTAGAAGTACTGAGGATTGAATTTAGGGTCTCCCACATGGGCAGTGCTCAGTTTATAATTTTTTGTGTGTGATACTACAGCTTGAACTCAGGGTCTTTCACTCTCTTGACATTTTTGCTCACAGCTTGTGTTTTACCATTTAAACCATACTTCCAGTCCTGTTTTGAAATTTTAAGGGCAGAGTAGAGGGAGAAAAGTATTCACTAAAGACTTTACAATCTGTCCCTTTACTGAAAAAGTTTCCCCTGCTTTAGATCATGAAAGAGTATTTGTGTGTCTCTCTTCCTAGCAGACAGGCTATACAGTTAGTTCATCAGCCTTAGCATAAAATTAAGAGTCATTCCTTTGACTTGTGGTTCTCTATGAATATTGGAACTGCATCTTTCACCTCATGAAACTTACAGGATTGTGGATCAGAAGTCCTAGGAAGTCCTAAAATTTCTAATATTTAAGAAAAATTTCGTTCCCTTTAAGAATAAGAAGACAGTTGGGAGCTGATGGCTCTCACCTGTAATCCCAGCTACTCAGGAGACTTAAGATCTGAGGATTATAGTTTCAAGCCAGCCTTGGCAGTGAAGTCCAGAAGTGGTATTTCTCAAGTAGTAAGAACACTAGTCTTGAACAAAAAAGCTCAGGGACAGTGCCCGGGGTCTCCTGAGTCAGGACCAGCACCAAAAGAAAAAAAGTGCAAGAGATCAACACATAAGAGTGGGTACCCTTCATCCTGTTCCTGTGACCAGGCTACATTCTGAATGGTAGCCTATACTATAAGGTGCCTGGGCTACATGGAGCCCCATTGTTGAGACCAGCTGTGCCCAGCTAACTGATGTGTCCCTTTTCCTCGTGAGATCAGGGGGGGGTCTCTGCTGTCTTTTCCTCCTTCCAGAGCTTGCACTGAACACAGCCCAGTTCGCTAAGAGTCTAGCCATGCTCGGGAGCTCCGAGGACAACACGGCCCTGTCACGGGCCCTCTCCCAGCTGGCTGAGGTGGAAGAAAAAATTGAGCAGCTGCACCAGGAACAGGCCAACCACGACTTCTTTCTGCTTGCTGAGCTCCTGAGTGACTACATTCGCCTCCTGGCTATCGTCCGTGTAAGCTGCTCCTTCTTTCCCTTCTCCCCCTCTCCCCTTCCACCCCAATGGAATTTGTCTCTCCTTTACTCTCCCCTTTCCCAAAAAAGTTTTACCTCCTTTTGGCTTATAAATGGTTGTAACATTATCCACTCTCCAAGGTATCCTGTTTTAACTGTTAGCGAGTTATTGTTGAGTTACTCGGAGGCCCACTGCCAGTTTCCTAGCTGCATGTGGAGAAAAGATCACTTGAATTTATAAGTAGCCCCCGCAACCCACCCCCTTCTTGTTGAAGCTGGACCATGTCCTCTGTGCTCCTTTCTTCAAGCAAGGCTTAACACAGACCTGGCTGTCTTGGCCCCCTGGAGCAGTGACCCCCCCCCTCGGTCCTTTGGCCTTTGCTCTGGTAGGAGTTCTTGCTGGCTTCCACCTGTCCCTCCAGTGTGGCCAGTCAGGTAACTACCCAGAACCGGCTTGGCATTGCATGGACGAGTGTGGCCAGGGGGCGCTGAGAGGGCTTGTCACCACAGCCCTTCCTGTGCTGTGCCCACCACACTGGTGACCCCGCAGCCTCTGCCCCTCAGGCCAAACATCTCCCTTTTTTTTCTGGGTGACCAAGGCAGTCTGGTTCTCCAAGCTGGCAAGCAGTTACAAAAACTTGACGGGGCAGCAGTATTAACTCTCACATGGCCTCCCGAAAACAGAGGAAAGAACCAAGAGCGGCTGGTGCCTGCCCGCTAAGGGCCTGAATCTACGCCTGATTCAACTTGGGATCAGGCTGTGTGAGCCTGGGAGTTGGAGGGGGGCCGCTCCCAGCTCCCCATTCCCACCATATCTCCCTTGAGGGAGCTTCTGTGTTGTAGCCGTCACCATAGCTCATTTCCTCTGCAGCACAGTTGCTTGAGATAACCTGGGAGATTGTTCATTGTATGCGCTCTCTCTCTCTCTCTCTCCCTCCCTCCCTCCCCCTCTCTCTTTCTCTCTCTCTTTGCTTTTTTGGTTGTTGTTTGCTGCTAACTCCAGAGTGATAAGGAGGCTTAAAAAAAAACCTACTGTAGAAGTCTTAGAACTGGTCAGACCACTTAAGACTGGCTAGCCATCCCTGGGAAGAGCTGCATGTGGGGAAGCTTTCTGAGGGGCATTGTTCACAGGTCCCTGGAGAGCAGACTCTTTGGATATGACCCCAGGCAGGCTGTCCCTTTAACAGGAGTGAGAGGCCTGTCCCTGGACAGGCCTGGGGCTGCATGCTGCCAGCTCCTCACTCCTCAGAGACATCACTTTGCTAGCTCCCTAGCAGTGGGATTGGACAGCTGAGGAGATGCTTCCTTTCTCTACCCTTCCCTGAACCTGGACCACTGTCAGCCCAGTGAGATAGGTCTTGTATTCTCCATGGATTATCCAGTCTCCTTTCCCTGATCCTTTGACACTGTGATAAACGGTGTCTTGTATTCTCCATGGATTATCCAGTCTCCTTTCCCTGATCCTTTGACACTGTGATAAACTGTGAAGAAATTGTACTGGAAGCTGAGTGCTGTTGACTCATACCTGTAATCCTAGCTACTCTGGAGGCTGAGAGCTGAGGATTGTGGTTGGAGTCAGCCTGGGTAGGGAAATCTGTGAGACTCTTTATCTCCAATTAATCAGCAAAGAGCCGGGCAGTAGACCTGTGGCTCAAATAGTAAAATGCTAGTCTTGAGCAAAAAAGCCCAGGGACAGCACCCAGGCCCTAAGTTCAAGCCCGGGGACCAGCACAAAAAAAAAAAAAAAAAGAAAAAAGGCCGTGGAATCTCAGTGACAGTTCTAGGGAGGGTGAATTTGGTGGCATTGTACTCCCTACAGTTTAAGCTTTGGCAAAGGCCCACATTAAAGAAGCCTAGGAAAGGCAGGAACTTGAGCAGAGAGTGGAGCCAGGGGAACAGCGCTGGGACGCTGGCTCCAGGCACTGTCTGGGCTACCCCTTAAGGCCTCCAGCATGGATGTGGGGTGGGATGTGTGCTGCTCAGTCAGGCCAGCCATACCTTTTCTGGAAATGCTGATTATGTTCAAAGGACTGGAAGCAGGAAAACCCAGCAAATAGATTTGGGTGCCCATCCGAGAGGCCTTGAGAGCCTAGCATAGGCAAGTATGTGCTTGAAATGGAAGTAGTATGCCCTGTGCAGGCTTGGTTTACATAACGAATCCCTAAGCAGCCCTAGGCTGCTCATGCCTATAGTCCTGGCTAGCTACTCAGGAGGCTGAGATGTGAGGATTATGGTTCAAAGCCAGCCAGGGTAGGAAAGTTGAGATTCTTTATCTTCTGTTGCACACACACACACACACACACGCACACACACGCGCACCCACACACACTCCCTAAGCCAACCCTATATACTACCAGTTGGAAGGTTCTTCCTTGCATTAGATTCCCCTGGCATACCTCCTAGGTCCCTGGCTTTATGTTACAGTACCCTGCTTGTTTTCCTAGTACCCTGTACTTATGTCTATCTGTAATTATTAACATAGAATGATGGCCCTTCACCTTAGAGGACTTAAGGAAAACAGGACTATGAGTTTCACTCTACTGTATCATTAGTCCCTGCCCATAGGGGTGCTCAGCACGTCACAGACTCACTTCTTAAAGGGAGCAGTTAGGGAGCCAGAGTCTCAGGGGGCCCTGGCATGAGGCCACCTACTGTGCTCTTTGCCACCCAGCCTTGGGAGTAGCATGAAGCCGCATGGCGCTGGCCCACGCCGCTTGGAGAGGATCTTCCCAAGCTTGTGCTTCTAGACACTAAATTTCCCAGCTGGGCACTAACACATGGCTGCAGAACCTGCCCTTGCTTGGTCCTTCCATGGCATAGCTGCTGGGAGAGCCCCCCGTGGTCCCCCCACCCCGGGCAGAGCCAGCCAAGCTGCTGAAGCGCTCTTGCGCTCTGCCCAACCTCTGCCCCACAGGCTGCCTTTGACCAGCGCATGAAGACATGGCAGCGCTGGCAGGATGCTCAGGCTACCCTGCAGAAGAAGCGGGAGGCCGAAGCGCGGCTGCTGTGGGCCAACAAGCCTGACAAGCTGCAGCAGGCCAAGGATGAGATCACAGAGGTGAGCCTGGCCCCTCCCCTCCTCCTCTCTTTGCTCCGCCCACACTTGCCATCTTGGGCCAAATCGCTGGATTCTGGCCGAGGGGTTTGGAAAGGCTATTTCAGTGACTCAGTTAGGATTCCTGGCGAGAATGGAACTGTTTTCTGCAGTTTCCAGTGTGCTCCATTCCAGAGCTCTCTAGAAGTCCAGGCTTGCCTTGGCGAGCACCGGACATCTTTTCTAATCATCTTCAAAAGGGGCCTGCTGGTCTGTGATTGACATGTGAATCCCTTAGGCCTCTGGTCCTCTCCAGAGGGACAGGCAAACACAATGGGCAGTTGGTAGTCTCCTGTGTCCACATGTAAGGGCTTAAGAGCCATGCTGTATTATTTAACGATCCTGTCTCTCCTCTTTCTACCCAGTGGGAGTCTCGGGTGACTCAGTACGAAAGGGACTTTGAAAAGATTTCCACAGTGGTCCGGAAAGAAGTCATACGGTTTGAGGTAAGCTAGAAGACCCTTCTTTCTCCCTGTTCTCGTGCACAGCTGTCGCCTGTGTACACGTGTGCCCATGTTGTGTGTACACTTGTGTGCTAGATTTTGGGGCATGCTGGCTGTCTTTAATTTGTGGCTGGACCAAAGCGTTAGACACAGAAATAAAGCTTATAGCTGCCATATCCCCTGCCAGCCCCCATCCTTCCCTCTCCCCTCCCTCCTGCCTCCCTCTAACGAAGCTTCCTAGAGCACTGGCTGAGAGGCAGTTTGGCTTGACACTGCAACGGCTTCCACTGCTGGCTCTCCTGTTGGAGGCCATGTTTGCCTGTGGTCAGCAGCAAATACCACCATCAAGTCAAAAGGAGAAGGAGCCACGGTCTGGATAGTCAGTGTAGAATCCCTGTCTCCTATAGAAAGAGAAATCCAAGGACTTCAGAAACCACGTGATCAAGTATCTTGAGACACTCCTATATTCCCAGCAACAGGTATGTAAGTCACGCCTGGGGGCAAAGGCCCCCATCTGCCTCTCTCACCAAAGGCCGGCTGTGTGCTTAAGAGCTCTGGTGACAAGTTGGGAAAGCTTGCTTCTGAGGGAGGAGGCCCGCTGCCATAGTGTGAGGCGTCTGACTGCCTTTGCTAAGCTGAGCAAGGGCTCCGCTGCTGCCCCGACCCCATAGCGAGTTAGCTCTTGAGGGCATAGCCCATCTCTTCTTCTCTGTAAATTGTGACGCTTCATCTTTCGGGCAACCATCTTGTGGTTGAGGCCGAGGCCCAATCAGTATGTGAGACAAGGGCCCTGTGTGAGGCCCTCACTGACTTAGGCACAAAGGGGAACGCCCTTTGGGGTAGGACTGAGCTGCTCTTCCCAGCCTTGCTCATGCCCTGCAGACTCACAGACTGACAGTTTCCCCTCAGAGTGGCGAGGCCATCTGCTCAGCACACTTTCCTGGCTGTGACCCTTGGAGAATGCCGGGGCATGGTGCCTGCCTCCCCTCCCAAGCTAGCCTAGGTTCTGCCACAAGGTGGGGGCACTTGCTTACTCCCCCCCCCACTTCTTCACAGCTGGCTAAGTACTGGGAAGCCTTCCTTCCTGAGGCAAAGGCCATCTCCTAATGGACCAAGGATCCCGAGCCCACCTGCGTGACGCTGCCTTTTTATACTCTCCTTCCCGCCCCGTTCCCTCCACGGACCCCCGTGATGCCTCCTGCCCCAGCTGGACTCAGCCCTCCTCGCCCCACGGCCCAGCACTCACCCCCTCGCTCTAACCAATATTTCATTTAGCTTCCACATATATTTTCTTACCTAAGAGAATAGTTTCCTGCTTTAAGCAAAGACCTACAATAGGTGGTGGAATTAATGGGATAGAGGTGTTGTATTGATATAAATATATAAATACAAATGTATATTTTTCAGGATGTGGTTTAGGAACTGGGAATAACGTTTTCTGTTACTCCTGATGGTGCCATGAAAAGATTATGTAATAAAAATATTTTGAAATCAGGTCACATGACTCGGAATGGTGGTACTTTTTGCTCTAGGTCGGGAAGCAAATTGGGGAGCCACGTTGGAATTCTAATCAAGAGGTTGCACAGAGGCCAGGTGCTCATGGCTCAAGCCAGTCATCCCAGCTACTCAGGAAGCTGAGATCTGAGGATTGTGGTTAGAAACCAGACTGAGCAGAGAAGTCTGTAAGACTCTTTATCTCCAGTTAGTCAGCATAAAGCTGGTAGTCCAATGATGGCTAAAAGTAGGAGAGCATTAGCCTTGAGCAAAAGAGCTCAGGGACAGCGCTCAGTCCCTGAGTTCAAACCCTACAGCCAACCAAAAAAAAAAAAAAAACTTGTACAAGTCTAGTGAATTTCTTTCTACAGGAGCTCACATGTTTTGCTGCTGCATTCCTGGGAAACTTGGGTTTGTTTTTCTTTACTTACCTGAGCCACCTGGTCAGAGACTCTCTTCAATCTGTCTCTTATTCCTATCTTAGAGAAGGAGTTTGTAGTAAGACAAAACCTAACCCCCAAAGGAGACAGACTTTCTCTGATTCCATCATTGTGTCTGCGCTGTCTGGGCCTCCCCAGGTCTTGCTTTCTCATGACAAATCCTGTGTTCTGTTGCTGCCACCCATCCACACAGGCTCTTGGGGAACCTCGGATACATTTCAATGTGGTGTACTTGCTTAGAATATGCAAACCCTTGGGTTCTATCTCCCAAAACCAAACCAAAACTACCACAGCCTTGACAGTGTTCCTGTTCGGCTGTATTGGGGCCTCTCTGCCTCAAGATAGGCCAATCCTAGGGCTCCTGAGTCTTCTGAAGTGCAAAGACTTAACTGTTGTGCCTGGGAGGGGACATGCCAGCCAGAGCCCCTGAGTATGCTAAACACAAACCAAAGATGTTCTAGCCGGTTTCTATTGGCCAGGCCAAGGGAGGCCGGAGGCTCTGATTGGTCATGGCTGGCCTTCCCCTGCACCGCATCCATAGCTGCCTGAGCTACACTGAACAGAGTAGATTTTGGCGTTCCTCTGTGGGGTAGAGATGCCAACCACAGTCATGGGGATCTTGCCACTCAGCCTCAGCACCCCGAAGATGCCACTGAGCAGAGGCACCAGGGCCTGCTGGACGGGGCAGCCGGGGGAGCAGCAGTGTGAGGTAGGAGAATACAGCGAACAGCACCACTGGCTTCTGGCACTCAGACTAGCACCAGGGGAAGTGCCAGGGCCGTAGGTAAAGTTAACCTCTCCTCCTCGCAGTACCCTCGCATTCATTATCTTTGAATGAATTCTTCAAGTCTTTCTTACTTGCTGGCATGTACATTAATAATATACAAATAACAATGCAGTCCCCCTCTGTATAACTAATTTTGTAAAATGTACATGTGCAAATATTTTTATCCTCCTATCACTCAACACTATTTTTTCCTAACCTGATACATCTTCACAAACTTTATCTCAATTTCAATGTTTCCAGAGAGTACCATAAATTTTGATTCATGCTTTTTTTAAATTCTTGTTTGAGAACAGGATTGTTTTTAATCACTTTAAATTTTTTAGTGTCTACTGGGCATCAGTGGCTTATACCTATAATCCTAGCTACTCAGGAGGCTGCAGAAAAGTTCCTCTCAGAGCTGGGAAGGTGGCTCAGTGGTAGAGCGCTTGCCTTGCATGCCTGAGGCCCTGGGTTCGATTCCTCAGCACCACATAAGCAAAAAAAGAAAAAAGCCGGAAGTGGCGCTGTGGCTCAAGTGGTAGAGCGCTAGCCTTGAGCTGAAGAGCTGAGGAACAGCGCCCAGGCCCAGAGTTCAGGCCCCATGACCGGACCCAAAAACAAAAACAAAAAAAACAGTTTCAAGATTCTCATCCTATACATCCTTTATTCAAACTTACTATGTATTGCATTTTACCTCATTTGCTTTTGATTTTCTAATCAGTCTTTATAGTATTTACATATTGGATTTTCAGAATCATTTGGGAGTAAGTTCAGACCAGGCACTGCATTACCCCAGAAACTCAGTTCTGTAAGAACAAGGACAGTCTCAGAATTCTCAGTAATCAAAAGCAGGAAATGGGGGCTGGGAAGGTGGCTCACTGGTAGAGCGCTTGCCTTGCATGCCTGAGGCCCTGGGTTTGATTGTTCAGCACTACATAAGCAAAAAAGAAAAAAGCCGGAAGTGACGCTGTGGCTCATGTGGTAGAGCGCTAGCCTTGAGCTGAAGAGCTGAGGGACAGCATCCAGGCCCAGAGTTCAGGCCCCATGACTGGACCCAAAAAAAACAAAAAACAAAAAAGGCAGGAAATGGTTGGGGTTTTTATTGTTGTTACTTGTACAGCTTGAACTCATGGCCTCTTGCTCTCACTTGGCTTTTTTGCTAACAGGTAGTGCTCTACCACTTGAGCCATAACTCTTGTCCAGCATTTCTCTGGCTAATTGGAGGAGTCTCATAGACTTTTCTGCCTGGTCTTTGACTACAGTCTGAATTACAGGCATGATGAGCATAGCAAAAGCAGAACATTTCAACCCTGATATAATGTTGTATTTAAATTTGTCACTTTTTTTTTTTTTTCTGGTCATGGGGCCTGAACTCTGGGCCTGGGCGCTGTCCTTCAGCTCTTCAGCTCAAGGCTAGTGCTCAACCACTTGAGCCACAACACCACTTCCGGCTTTTTCTGCTTATGTGGTGCTGAAGAATCAAACCCAGGGGTCTCATGCATGCAAGGCAAGTGCTCTACCACTGAGCCACCTTCCCAGCCCCTTTGGGTTTTTTTTTTGAGACAGAGTTTTTCTATGTAGCAAGGTTGGCCTTGAGCTGACTATGTAGTTCAGGCTGATCTTAAATTTGGTGATCACCCTGCCTCTACCTCTGGACAGCTAAGAATATAAGTGTATGTTACTACATACTCTTAATGCAGAAGAGTTCCTTAGCCTTTCTTTGCTTTTTTTCTTTTTTTGGTCAGTCATGGGGCTTGAACTCTGGGCCTGGGCGCTGTCCCTCAGCTCTTCCGCTCAAGGTGAGCCTCTACCACTTAAGTCACAGAGCCACTTCTGGTTTTCTGGTGGTTAATTGGAGATAAGTCTCACGAACTTTCCTGCCCGGGCTGGCCTTGAGCTGTGGTCCTCTGATCTCAGCCTCCTGAGTAGCTAGGATTACCAGCATGAGCCACCAGTTGCCTGCAAAAAGACAATTCTTTTGTAGAATGGTCCTGACTTTGGGTTTGTCGGATGGTCGTACATGGCTGGTTGGCATGTTTCACATTAGGGGTTTTCAGCGCCTCTGCATTTAATATGACATCCATTAGTCTTGTTCATATTGACATCAACTCATCGCTTGGCTAGGCTGACATGCCCTAGTTTTTGCATGTTGAGTTCTATTTTCCTGTTTGTAATTAACATGTCATTTGTAGGGAATGCTTTGGAAGCATGGAGGTTTCAGTTACATAAGTCTGGTAGGACGCATTTCTTTATGGACAGTGTCATCCGTTCCCTCGCTCTCGCATAGAGATATTTTGTCCGTCCATTCTCATGGCATCCGCTGGTGTTTGGTCCTGCCTGGGTTGCTCGTTCCAGTGACTGAGCAGTGTGAGTCAGCACCATAGTAAATGCCTTCTGCGCTTGCTACTGACCTTCTACTTTTCAGAAAAGAATCCTTCCTCCTATTTACTTAATCGCTTTGACAGCTGTCAGTACTAGGGTTTGATCTTGGCCTTGCGCTGCCAGGCAAATTACTCTGCCACCAAAGCCATACCCCTAGCCTTGCTTTGATAGTATCAATTCTCAGAATGTCTCAGTTGCAAGTTCCTTTGTGTTGTGTGTTTGTGTGTGTGCACATGCATGCCAGTCATAGAGCTTGAACTCAAGGCCCAGAAGCTGAGCTTTTGTGCTCAAGACCAGTTCTCTACCACTTGAGCCACAGCTCCACTTCTGACTTTTTGGTGGTCATGAGAGTCTCCAGTTGTCTGCCTGGGCTGGCTTTGAACCATAGTCCTCAGATCTCCTGAGGATCCTAGCCTCCTGAGTGGCTAGGATTACACACATGACCCACTGGTGCCCAGCTTCCTGAGTCCTTTTAACTTAAGTATTTTCTGGCATAACAAGATATTCCAGGGGTTGGAGGCATGGCTTAGTTGGTAGAGTGCTTAGCCGGTAAGTGAAAGCATCAAGTACCAAGTTCCAGTCCCTGTCTTGGAGCAAAAGAAAAGATATACAGGCTCGTCTTAGGTCTTCATCCATTGTGGATGCCTGGCTTTGTATCTGTAAGCCTCTTTTTCAGCTTCTGTTCTTTTGTTAGAACTCCTTCTGTCTGCAACAAGCATGCCAGCACATTCACCGAGAACCTCATAGACACTTCCTTCTGTGAGCCAGGGCCATGTAGACACGCTAAAAACACCCAGCTCACAGCACTGTTTTCAGTTGCAAGAACTCTATCTAATCACACTTATAATTCTAGCTAATCAGGAGACTACGATCTGAACATTGCATTCAAAGCCAGCCTAGACAGGAACGTCTATGAGAATCTTACCTCCAAATAACCAGCAAAAAAAAAAAAGCCAGAAGTGGAGTTGTGGCTCAAATGGTAGAGTGCTAGCCTTGAGAAAAAAAGAAGAAAAAAACAACCTAACAGCACCCAGGCCCTGAATTAAAGCTCTAGCCCCCCCCCCCTCCGCAAAAAAAAAGAACAAAAAAAGCTGGACACCTAGAAACAATCCAGATATCTACCAGGAAGGGATAATGACTTAGTTTATGATTGGATTTAGTCATCCAACTGTGACTTACAGGATAGTCATACAGTCAGATCTTACTCAGCCACTGAAGGTGGTAGCTGCATTCCTTGTTGCTTAAAAAAAAACCAGGTTTTAGAACTGTATGTGTGATATGATCTACATAGTAAAAATAAATCCTACAAATGGAAAGGATGTTGATTGAATTGTGAACTCTAATTGCCTCTGGAGATGGAATTTTGCATTACTTAACATTTTTGTGTCATTTTATAGTCCTTCAGATTGCTTTGT